GTATTTTAGAAATATTTTAATTTGTGGAAATGATAATGATATGAATAATTATCTTCGAATAATTTCGGTAAGAAGAACTTTTAAATTCTCCTTCAAATAAATCTCACGAAACCACTGTCCATTTCAAAAAAAAGGCGGATGGGTATTTTTCGAATATTTTTCTATAGGAATAAGATAGAGAGCTGCGATTTTCACCGTTAGAAAGAGCAGATGAAGATGTATCTAAACCCATATGTGAAGATTTCTCTAACTACTCCCAAAGGCTATTATAGGAAAATCTTGATAAACAGTATGTCTCGTATTAACGCTACATTAGTTCGTTCATTTTCGGGAATGTTGTAAAATCGCCAGATCAAAAACTACAAAACTGTGTGAAGGTTTCCCTCATTACTACTACTAATTCAATCTTTCACTGGCAAAAAACACTTTAGTAACCCATTTTTCGTGCAAAAAATAGAAGTTTCTATGATGTTTTGATAAAAAATCGTATTTTTTCACGTGTGAGAAAAAGGCAGTTTTTTCAAAACACCTGACTGACAGTCTTTGGGAAGTAGTTAGAGAAATCTTCGGATATAGGTTTTGATGCGTCTTCATCTGCTCTTTCTGAGAGTGAAACCCGCAGCTCTCTATCTTGTTGCTGCCGAAAAATACTCGAAAAATACCCACCCGCCTTTTTTTTTTTGAAATGGACAGTATAAGACTAAAATCGTGCAATAGGAATCAGAAGTCCCAGTCTAGCTTAAGGGAAATAAACCAATGTGATTGAGTCACCCAGTTAACTATCTGTAAATTATTTTATAGTTTATTATTTCATGTATGAATTGAATTGTTTTATTAAATAAATAATCTTTTTAGAATGATTCTTCTTTGATGAATGATTTGCAAATTAATTTATGGACATTAAATAATCTCCGGACACAATCAGTTGATGGTTAGATTTCTATCTGTCTTCTTTTTGTTTGGAATGTTAATTGAATACATTTTTTTGCTTAGGTTGTCTTATTGTTTCACCGACAGGTCGAGAGCTTCTTCAAACTTTCTTAACTCAGAAAAAAATTTCTATTAATATTGATAGTAAGTAGATGAATTGAATTTATTTAACAACAAAACAAAACCTTCTTGTAGCTATTCCAATGGTAAATTTAATCTCTGCAACGTCTGATCAGTATGTTTTTTTTGTCTACTGTTTTGATGTATCTTTAAAAGAATTTTTAGTTCTAATGAAATATCAATTGAACAACTCAGGTTATCACTCGAACAATTGTCAAATTCAAAAGAAACATTCTCAAATAAAAAACGATCTGATCTTCGAATTTTACTTTGTTTTATGTGTGGTGGAAATAATAATGATATTGAAATATTTTTTTCTCAATTAGCATCACGATTTTCTCTTGTAACAACAAATCAATATGGAGATTTATCCTTTATTATTAATGCATTTCTTGGTCGATCCAATCGAAAAGTAATTTCACTAAAAAAATTCTTCTTCAGAAAAATATTTTGTTTTGTCTTTATTCAAAAGGTTGAATTCATTCCTATTTCATTTCATTCGTTATTTTCTGTTAAATTAATTGATTTTGATGGATTTATATTATTCTATGATCGTGATAGAAAAGCTGCTGTTAGTACAATGACATATTTGGAAAAACACATTTCAACAAATTTACAAAATGAATTATCAAAAAAAGCTGATGATAATCAAGAAACTAATGGAACAATAATACCACGTCCACCTATTTATGTCCTATGTTGTATTAAAGATTCTGGTTTATTAAATACGAAAAAATATCCTCAATCTGAATATTGTGTTCAATGTCATAGTGGAACAATAAGAAATTTTGTTGAATGTAAAAGACGTTTTATTAGTTTGTACTAATATTTTTAACGATAAATATTCTCTTTTATTTAGCTCATCTTGTACCGTTTCTTAATCAATGCTGGATTGCAATAAATGGCAATATCACTGATAATGATTATGAGAAAAATGAAAATCTTCTTGCAGGTGTTACATCATATTTTAAGTAAATACAAATTCTGTTTTTCCTATTACAGACGACTAAAGAGTTTTTTTTATAGTCGTACAACTTATTCATCAGCTAGTGATTTAATGATAAGTAGTCTTGAACGTACACGTAAACAATTCACAAATAATAATGATGATGATCGAACAAATTCACTAATGTTATCAAGTAAATCAAATGAACATTCACCTAAACATCGATCTTCATTATTAACACCAACAAATCATGAACAAAGTAAACTAATGATTTTTTTTGTATTAGAGAAAATGAATAAGAACAACTAATGAAATTTTTAGTTTTTTCTTATCGTTCATTTCCACATTTATCGATATCAAGTAATGGTACTGATGCAACAATTGTTCCAACAACACCAGTTGACCCATCTGTAACAAATCTTGGTTTACTATCACCATCATCTTTATCGACATCATCGATATCTGATAATCAATTTAAAAAATCAACTAGTATGCGTTTTGCAAAACTTATGGAACATCCAAGTAAGTTTAGAATAGTTCATTAATCTTAACTCATAGTTCGTAGTTATTAAAACCAAAAAAAAAACTTGTAGAATAATCTATTAGATGGGTATATGTTTTTCATAATTTCATTTATTCTAGTTAATTATTTAACATTTAACGGTAACGTAGATATAATTCGTTGTGCTTGTGCTTAACCTATTTGTTTAATCACTCATTCTTTTGTCGTTTTGTTTTGTCAATTTATATGTTGATTCACATAAAATGGTTGAATTTCCCTAAGGTTTAAACGATATTTTGAATCTCTACTAAAATTTGATTGTTAATTATCTGCAGAAAGAATTTCCGTCTTATGTAATTATTTATTAATATAAATCTATTTTTTTGTTTCTGATACTAATCTTAACAACGCCTTCAGAAAAGCAAGAGAGAGAGAGCAATAGAAGAGAAGAAAAAAGAAAACTACTACGATTGATAATCAACATAGGCGTTTGTCATCGAAACAAAAAATATATAGAAGAAAAGAAAAGTATCTATTCCCTTTCGTTTTCTAACTGTTGACAAGTCGCTCTTGCTAGCCAAACTATTGCTCCTGTTGCTTTCACCAAGTCTATTCTATAGTATATTCATTGAAATCTAATCATAATAAGTACTTTTCTTTTATTTCTTTAGTCGATGGAAGCAGTTACCAATCATCACCTAGTAATGCAAATAACGAAAATGTACGTATGATATATAAATAAACTTGAGAGAAAATGGTTTATGATGGATAATTCTATTTTCTTCTCTTTCGTTGTCTCTAGTCATTAACAATACGTAGACGAATCAATGAAATTCCACCAAGAGTAACATCTACAGAAGATATGAAATTTCATTTATATAAACATCGAACTGCTGCTCATGTTAAAGTTCCATTAGCTACACCGGAAATAATTGAATTTAATGAAGCAGTAACAACACCTTTGTCTATTCAACAACATTATGATAGATCATTAGTTTTAACAAATAATAATACAGATGATATACATCCAGTCAATTCTTCATCATCATCACCACCTACACTCCATCAACAAAATCATAATAGTACAATAGATGAATCGATTACAGATTCATCGAAACAAACACGAGGTTTTTGATAAATTTATTTTATTTTCTAAATCTAAATTTGTTTTATCTTTTAGCAACAGATTCATCTGTTGATAGTTCAAGTGATGAACGTTTACAAAATCAACGTGAATCATCAACAACATTACAGAATGCAAATTCACCAACGAATAATCAATCACAACACCAGTGTGTTGTGACTTTACAAAGAAAAGTATCAGATAGAAAATCAAAACGTGTACGAGCTAAACAAAATGATGTTACAGGTTTAGCATCAAGTACTGAAATTTTAAAGAAAAGTAATTGAAAAAAGAATCAATTTCTTTTAAGTTTTGTTAATATTATTTTCATTTAAGCTGGATCTGATGATGAAGTTTTAGCTGAAAATGATAAGCGTTCTCAACAGCAACAATATCCGAAAAAGAAACGTCGACCTAGTTTCAAAAGACGGAAGAAAGCTGTTTATGATCAAACACAGACTGATTCGGGAATTGATTCTCGAATGGGTATGAAGTGTTCTTTTTATCTTTTCTATAGTTATTCAAATTGATTTCAATATTTCCGTAGAGACTTAAAAGGTTACGTGAATGAAATTATTTTACAGTATTTTTTTTTCTACAAGAGAAAAAAATCGTAGACGGTTCATTAAGTACCAGTCAAGAGGAAAATGATTGATTTCCAGACTAAAAACATTAGACATCAGTAAAAGTCATTTTTAAAGGTCAACGATATGAAAGCATTGCTAGATATAGTTGAATATTATGGAAATCAAAAGAAATCATCAAAAATCGTTTTATGCCACCGTAAAATCGTTGATGATATGGCAAAAACAGACGTTTTGATTTCTGTTGATTTTTATTCATTGGGTAGGTTTCCCATCTCCTTGATTTTTACCGATAGAAATCAGTTTGTTTTCTCGTGATACTAGTTTAAACAAAAGTCTTAATTGAATATTATTCTATTTAGATCCAAAAGATAGAAATAACGTTAGTATTGCTCCTGAACCGTCATCATCATCGAATGTTGTTATATCGAATGAAGATGATTCAAGTGTTGGTGACTATACAAAAGATAGTAAAGTAAGTTTTATTAAAATAAGAAATAAATTAGTTATATTTTTATTTTATTTTATTTTTAAGAATACATCTATTGAAGAACTCGAAGAACGACCAACAGCGAATTGGATTCGCCGTCAACTACAATACTTTGCTCAAGTTCGACGTGATGTACGTTTATTTTCTAAGAGTTAAATTGATAGATTACATCATGGCCAGTAAAATGATGTAGACTAATATGAGACTAAGTAACTTACAGCAGTGGCGGATTTAGGGAGCGGGTGCCATGGCACCCTGTCAAAACTGGGTGGTTGATATGTCGAATGGGAGCGGTAATGCGGTTTTTGACCAAAACCGCACGCTATCATAAAAACTTTAGATTCACTACTGACTTACAACACCAAGTCAATCTGTATAATACTCATCAATAGATCATTGATTCATAGGAAATATGTTAACTAATTAATTTATCTTTAGAAAAATGATCCAAAAACTCGTTCTCCTGCTACAACAATTACATCAGTATCTTCACCTCTACCAATTTTATATAAAGCAACAACGACATCAACTCCTCCACATACAACTGCATCTCTTCTATCATCTGTTGAAAATTCTCAGCATCATATTCCAATTCGTTTATCATTAAGTCGCTGTGCTCAATCAAATGAATCAGGTGTACCATTATTTATGGAAAAATGTATTCAATTTATTGAAGAATATGGTTTAGCTATTGAAGGACTTTATCGAGTTTCAGGCTATAAAAATCAAGTTGAATTAGTTATTAATAAACTTATTGAGGGTAAAATAATTTAATTAAATATTTCAAATTGATTTATTTATTTTATATAGATCCATCTTATGATCTTCGTTTGTTACAAGTTCCAGCAAGTGCCGTAGCAACAGCATTAAAAGATATGATGAGAAAACTTGATGAACCACTTTTATCATTAGAATTATTTGATGAATGTCAAAATTTAACGAGTAAATTAAGAATCCTATATATATTTTCATTTAATCATTTATTTTTTGTTCTAGTTGATCAATTAAAAGAACAAAATTTTCTTCCATTACGAAAAGCTTTTTCTCGTACAAGTGAACTTAAATATCGAACAATCAAATTTATTTTTAAACATCTTCATTTGTAAGTTAAATTAATAAATAAATCTTATATTTAATTTGTAAATACAATGAAATCTTTTAGTGTTTCACAATATGCTTCATCAACTCATATGGATTCATCAAATTTAGCTGTTTTATGGTGGCCGAATTTATTTCAACCACAATTTCCCGATTTACGCACAGCTGAACAAAAATGTCAAAAAACTAAACCATTAATTCAAGCAATTATCGACAATTATCCTACGATTTTTTCTTCTAATGAAATAAAACAACAAAATAGCTAAAAAGAAAAAGAAATTCATTTGTTTTTGTTCACTGGTATTTTTTTCTAGTCAACAGCGGGTGCTTCTATGTTGTGATTTTGTATGTTGAACAAATCATTTTTTTGTTTCTTATGTTCTTTATTCGAGAATTATTTGTATGTATTTGCTAGTCGTTCTCTTTCTCCTTTTCTCTCTCTCTCTCTCTGTATTCCATACAACAAATTAAGAAAACCAACTTGTGTTTTTTTTTGTAATTAGAACAGTAGTCGTTTTTTTTTCCGTTTCGTATCTGTCTGCGTGTATGTACATAACAAAACCTTATCGTGTATTTTGTACATGCCTTCTTTTTTTTTTCTTTTGTTCTGTTCTTCTCTCTCTCTCTCTCTCTCATACAAACAGTATCATCTTGATTCTAACTATTGCTCATGCATATAA